CTAAGGTACCACCGCGTAGAATAAGTAAAACACATGACGATAACCAAAAGAGGAAGAAAATATTCAAGGACATTCATTTTTAAAGAGATTGAGAGAAAAGGGAATTGTTTAAGTTGAGGATTAGTTCTTTCAACTTCACATTTTATAAGACCAGAAAAGAGAAGGCATGCGCTCATATTTGAGTTAGGCATTAACAAGATCACTATCTTTGCCTCCCACATGAGTTGCTAAACTAAATTGTCAATACCAGCAAGCTAAGTTAGATATGGTGCCATTTTTGTCATACTATTACTTGTCTCAGCAGAAGTCTGGTGGAATGGATTGAATCAGTTATCAGCCCTACCTTAATTAGGGACAAACTTCTATTACGAAGCATTGACTCTCTAGACGAGATTGTATAATGGTTCTAGAAGACACTCTAACGGGAACTACATGGGGTGCACTATAAGGGATCGAAGACAACTCCTCAATTAAAGGAAGCTTATCTCCGCCCCTTTAAAAGCTCTCCTTTAGGTATTCTGTTTATGTTTAATAGTAAACAAACTTCAAAGCAGATAAAGAAAAAGGACATCTCCATTCAGATTTTCGAAATATTTACTAAAACATTGAACATCACATAGGGGCCATAACCAGGCAAGGGATGTCATCCAACATTTCGATATATAATAACAAGAGTTTACATTAATTGAAAAAAAGAACACAAGACTATGATGATGCGTTTATAACATAGTAAAAACTAATTCATGAGGACGATTTTATTGATGCACTTGAATGCATTATACTAAGATGCATAATCATGATATAGTAATTATATCGACACTGCTTACATAAGATCCTAGATACGTCAATATTGTAGAATGTTCATGCATTGGACATAAGAGGAACCCTTTTGAAAAGCCTTACTTTCAGACCATGTTTCATTTGAATGATAATAGAAGCATTTGGAGAAATTATTTGATCTTCCCCTAATTGGATATGATAATTGTATATGATGGTAGCTGCCACTATTTTCATTTGAATGGATGCCATTTCCTTACCTATACAAGTCCTTGGACCTGCATTAAAGGCCGGGAAGTTGAAGGATGGCTCATGTTTGATCCCTCCACGTTCAGAGATCCATCTTTCTGGCTTGAATTCTAGGCAATCTTTTCCCCATATACTTTCCATTCTCCCCATTGTATAGAACGATAGCACAACTCTTGTGTTTGGACTAACATGGTGACCGCTCGGAAGAATGTCAAATTCAAGTGGAAGTTTATGCTCAATTGCAACTGATGGAAAGAACCTCAGGGTTTCACACAAAGCACCATGTAGATAGACTAGTTTTCTTGCTTCTTCTATTGCGAAAAACTTGAGATTTTCGCCCTCTTTGAGATTGAGTTTTTGTTGAATCTCTTCTCTAATCCTTTTCTCTACTAAGGGATTTTTAGCTAAGAGCCAGAAAAACCAAGTGAGAGCTGCACTTGTGGTGTCTCTACCAGCAAACATCAAATTCAAGAAAGTGTCCCTAAGAAATGTTTGCAATGTACCCAAATCACCATCTTTCCATTGATTGTACATTTTGATGTACCCGTTTAAAAATGTAAATTCCTCGTCTTCGATTGAACTTTTATGCATCAGCTCTTCTTGTTTCCGCGAAATGCAAGGATATAAGAACTGATCAAAAGCTTCCCATGCTTGAATGAGCTTCTTTTCTTTACCAATTTGAAGCCATTTTTGCAATTTCCAGCAGCCTTCTGGCAAGATGTGTCTGTACATAAGTGCATCCACAACGTCGTTGAACGCCTTTTCACATGACACATGAGGTAAATCAATAGACAAACTTTTGGGATCATAGTCAAGTAACAATTTGCTGATAGCATCAAAAGTGAACCTCTGGAAAATATCTTGCAAATCAAACAGGGTGTCCTGTTCAGCAAAAGTATCAAGAATAGGTCGGAGCGCATTTTCGATAATGTCCCACATGTTCCTCTCTAGAAAAGTTTGGAACTTGGCATGACTCATTAAGGACATGGTGGTTTTCCTATGCATCTCCCATAGCTCATAATCAACATTGAAGATCCCATTTCCTAATATATCGAAAATTTTACGAAACTCAACACCCTTTGGATAGTTTGAGAAATTTTTACTAAGGATATGATGGATATTTGCAGGATCACTAGTAGCTAACATGTTCAAGTTGGCAAAAACAGGACCATGAAACTCAAAAGTTCCCTTAGTTTCCACAAGAACATCAGTTGCAATTCATGGACACGATGCGCATTTCGAAAAAGCCCAGGCAACATTCCAACAAGAGGCCAATTTGTTGGCACTGAGCTTAATCTCCACCATCTATTACTAAGGTACCACCATGTAAAACACATGATGATAATCAAGAGAGGGAGAAAAAGTTCAAGGGCATCCATTTCTTTGGATATTGAGATAAGGGAATTGTTTAAGTTGAGGATTAGTTCTTTCAACTTCACATTTTATAAGACCAGAAAAGGGAAGGCATGGGCTCATATTTGAGTCAGGCATTTACAAGATCACTATCTTGGCCTCCCACATTTAGTTGTTGCCGCACCCGTGTCGGATTCTCCAAAAATACACTACTTGGCGAATCCGACACGGACCATTCGACATTTTCGAAGAATCTGAGCAACATAGGTCCCACGAGTTACTAAGCACAATTTTGAATGTCAAAAAGCTAAGATAGATAAGGATGTGAGAATCTGACAGGGCCCATACGTAGATGATTAGTTAGATATGGTACCATTTGGCATATTATTAGTTGTCTAAGCAGCAGTCTATTGGAATTGATTGAATCTGTCCTACCTTAATTAGAGACTTCTAGTCAAGACCTAGAATGGAAAAAAAACTAGGAAGCATTGACTCTCTAGACGAGACTGTTTTACGATTCTAGAAGACCCTGAACAAGAATAGGCAAAGATGTCACATCTTTGAACCGGAAGAGATGGTTTAGGATGAGTATTTGGGTAACAACGCCAGAGGTGTGTGAAGTCAAAAGCTTGCTAGAATGGAATAGTAAAAGCTTCAACTGTTGGTTGCTAACAGAATTTGTTGAACCAGTCCAATATTTTATGACATCTTTGCCTCTGGCACAGATTTAGCATCACACCTATAGGAGTGAGTTATTTGGTTAGAATTACAGTCACCAAAATACCAGTAAGAGCTCATCACTGCAACTATACATCACGTAATCTATAAAATGATGCATTTGGGCAACCATGTATAGGCTGATCGAGGTATTACAATCAATTAGGGTGGTGTTGAAATGAGACAAGTGCTGAAATGTTAAAGAAACAAGAACCTAAGAGAACCAATGCTCTAGCATTGTTCATGCATTTGGTATCGATTAGAGAGGAACCCTTTTCTCGAGTCTAACTTTCAGACCATGTTTCATTTGAATGATAATAGAAGCACTTGGAGCAATTATTTGATCTACCCCTAATTGGATATGATAATTGTATATGATGGTAGCTGCCACTATTTTCATCTGAATGAACGCCATTTCCTTACCTATACAAGTCCTTGGACCTGCATTAAAGGCTGAGAATTTGAAAGATGGCTCGTGTTTGATCCCTCCACGTTAAGAAATCCATCTCTCTGGCTTGAATTCTAATCTATCTTCCCCCCATATACTTTCCATTCTCCCCATTGTATAGAGTGATAGCACAACTCTCGTGTTTGGACTAACATGGTGAGCACTCGGAAGAATGTCAAAGTCATGTGGAAGTTTGTGCTCAATCGCAACTGATGGAAAGAGCCTCAGGGTTTCACACAAAGCACCATGTAGATAGACTAGTTTTCTTGTTTCTTGTACGCTGAAAAAGTTGAGATTTTCATCTACTTTTAGATTCAACTGTTGTTGAATTTCTTCTCTAATCCTTTTCTCTACTAAGGGATTTTTAGCTAAGAGCCAGAAAAACCAAGTGAGAGCAAACAATAAACTCAAGAAAGTATCCCTTAGAAATGTTTGCAAAGTACCCAAATCGCCATCTTTCCATTGATTGTACATTCTGATGTACGCGTTTAAGAATATGAATTCCTCGTCTTTGGCTCTACTTGTATGCATCAACTCTTCTTGTTTCCGCGAAATACAAGGATATAGGACATCCATTTTCTTTCTCAAACAAAAGAAGAATTTGAGATGGAGAGAGGAGACTTGTTTAAGTTCAGGATTAGTTCTTTTAACTTTACATTTTATAAGGAGAATTGAGTAAACGAGACCAGCAAATTGGAAGACATGACCTCATATTTTACTTTACGTTTTTTTATGACCGTGGTGTCCGAATCAGCTTTCGTGCACTTTGTTAGGATAGATGGGGAGAATCACCTAGTGGTGTTTAAACATGAGACCTCGAAGCTCTAAACCACTTTATTGACCCACTAGACCACACCCTTGGGTGCGGTCATGGCTCATAATTTAGTTAGGCATTTTGAAGATCACTATCTTGGACCCTTACATTAGTTTTTAGCCACAAGTGTCAATCCTAAGATAGATAAGGATGCGACAATCAGACAGAGAGTTGTTTTACCAAACAAAATGACAATATAGATATGGTGACATTTATGTCGTATTATTAGTTATCTCAGTCAAGACTCAAGCCCTCAAAATGGCTTCTAGACATATTTGTAATTTTATATCATAAATACTTTTCAATGTTTCTTCTTAGTTATTTTCCATCATCTCACAGTCCATATTTTATAGTTTTAACAAATTACTCTTGCTAAAATGGAATAGATACAGCTTCAACTGTCTGTTGTTATCAGTATGACATATTTTTAATGTACACAAGAGAATATTTTATACATATAGCTAAGTGTGTTAAACTGATTAAAATTTACTTGAGGATGAGTATGGAAATGGCCGAGTGACGACTTGAGGCTTCGTTTACTGCCTTCCCAGAGCTTGAAGATGCACACATAAGAAGAAGCTAGACGTGGGATTTAGTTGTTATAAGTACTCGAACAACTAAAAACACAAGCTATCACCAAGATAACGAATAAAGAACCAATCAACATTCAAGCTCCAATAAGAGGATGATTCAGGATTCGAAAAAGCAAGAAACTATTTTCAACCTATAGGAGTGAGTAATTTGGTCAGATTTACAATCACCAGAAAACCAGTAAGAGCTCATCATTGCAACTATACATAATAACCTAATCTCTAAAATGATGCATTTGAACAACCCTGTATATGATGATCCAGGTATTACAATCAATTAGGGTGGTGTTGGAATGAGACAAGTGCATGAAATGCTAAAGAAACAGAGGAACAAAAACCGAAGAGCACCTTGAAAGATTGGAAGAGAAAGTAAATCCAACCATTCCCAAAAAATTCCATATTATGAACACCTCCAGGAACTGCTGCAAGTTCCATCTCAGCGTGATTGTGACTCGAGAAGGACGTTTGTGGCTATATTAACATCATTTCTTGAACGGATGAGTGCCTGCCTTGCTGAGTTCCTATCAAAGCCCATTGATACCAGCATAGAAATAGCGTCTTCTGGTGGTTCTGGGGTGGATGAAACTGGAGCTGGGTAGTTCCCCTGAAATATGCAGGAGAAAGCAGTAGACTAATGTCAGAACGTTCATAATCTTTCAAAAAGGACCATAGAAACTTTAGATGTGACTGAAGTTGGTTTTCTATTGGAACACACCAAGAATCAACTCATTGGTGGATGAATATGGCCCATCAATTCACTTATATTTTGAACAAGGTGACCTCTCAATTCTATTGGTCCAGATAAAATTTGAAATCCATCGACATAAGTCAGAAATGTGAAAGCTAAACTTAACTGATAAAACTCTTAACATAATAAACAAGATTCTAGAGTGCAAATAGCAGTAGGCTCAGAATCGCCAGTAGACATGGAGAGGACAATCAATGTTTAATCATTAGCAAACTCACTTACATCAGAAAAAATAACTTTGCAGTAGATATACGAATATAAGTTCCACGACTTGATTATTTATTCTTCTTTCATCATCTCTTTTCCCCCCCTCTTAATCATGTCACTTTCTAGATGGACTAATCATTCTCCTTTCTATACATGGAAAAAATATATGGAACTTGAAACTTCTGATTATTTGTGTTTTTATTTGCCTTCTCGTCATTCAATATTCTTTTTTCACTATTCTGATCCACCATCCTCACATGGTCGCACCCCATCTACTGCAGCTCTCTCTCTCTCTCTCTCTCTCTGTGAGAGAAAAGAGAGAGCACTTCCTTTGTCAAGTAACTCCCCACCTCCCACCCCAGAAAAGAAAAAGAGAGACAACAACAATATACCCAGTGTAATCCCACAAGCGGGGTCTGAGGAGGGTGTACATAGAAAAGTTCAACTATTCTCTTTTTTTTTTGGTCAGTAAAGGTAAAGTATTCTCAATTATGTTTTACATAAGCCAATGAAGAGAAGAGAAAAGTTGTACATTAAAGCTAGCCAGAGAGAGGACGTGAGATGTTGATAGGAAACAAATAATAATTATTTCTCTTCTTTTATTTTTTGAACTCTAGACTGTTTCTCTTGAGGGACCGGGTACTTTTGAACATCTCGATCTCTAAGAACCATGAAGAATTATCTTTCTTGGAAAGTCAAGTGCTTTATATTTTATCCAATTGGAGTAATACTGGTCTAATTTCAGGATAGACAGTCCAAGGAAGATATTTATTTTAGATGCATTTCTTTCAACTAACCTGACACTGAGAGACAGCTTTCCCTTAAAACATCAAAGAGTTAACTATACTAACTAAACCAAGGCATCAAAAACAATAATCACCTCCATTTGGCGACCAGCAAAGATTGGTACGTTTCCTGGGGCATTTCTTGCTGGTGCAGAAGGTGGTGGCAGGTTACCCGTTGATGGCCAAGAAAGTCGAGCAAAGAAGGATGTAATAAATTCTGGGAACTAAAAGAAAGAAAATTGATGCAAGTCAGATTCATAATAAAACATCATGAAAATCATGTACGATAAAAGGTGCACCATTAGCATCTCAAGCAACAAACTATTTGGAGATATCATTTCAAAACAATAAAATCAATTGTCAATTCTACAGCGGTGCTCAGAGTTCTCTACTTCTATGAAGCTACCAACGTGTTCCTACATTGCATTATTAACTTCAACAAGAAGCATTTGCTTTGCCTTCCAGCAAAAGCATTCGGCCTACAAGACACATTCAGATTTAACTACTTGATGAGAAATGGAGCCTAGTTATTTTTTGTAGTCATTCAGAAGTCAGAACAAGGGTTATTCCCATCAACTCAGATAGAAGGTCCATGTACTTCCAACTACATCAAATTCAATAAAGAAAAGAAATGCCAATGACTAGGAGCAATATTCTATATATGTGAATGCAAGACTAAGTCAAATTCTCCAGGCATATAAAAAGAAAGAAGTGATAGTATCACATAAATACCAAATACCATGAGATTACAGTAATAATTTTCAGAGAATGCGAACTCAGTAGAAACAAAACTTAAATATGTATGAACAGACAGAGACATACACAGAGAAAGAGAGAATTTTGAAAAACAAGAACAGGGCAAACCTTCACTTTCCTAATACGGCAAAAGTTCAAACGATACAAGCAACCTGCAATTATTCCACAGAGCCCGGGTACAATAGATCTTTTCCAGGATGAGAAAAGAAGCTGTAAGATAAAATATCAAGTAAATATGGATAATAAGAAACTCAAGCTAGGACAATATTTAATTAGAAGCCGTGATAAAGTATATATACCTGGAGGCCAGCTAAATAAATAAAAGTCTTGTCAGAGAAGTTGAGACTAAATAAGCGGAACCGGGTAGAAACCGGAATGTCGAGATAAAAGGGCACAAAGGAAGAAAAAATTAGTCCATAGGGCCCAGACAGGATACTCAAGGAAGGATCTGAAAATGAAAAATTAAAACATATCAATGGCTAAGGAACCTGTTCGTCAGTTTTAAAAACATTAAAATATATCAATGGATCAGATGCTTCAATATTCCCTTTTCTTGTAGGATATTATATGGCATTCAAAGGGCACCTCACTATTCTGTTTTCTTGTAGGTAGGATATTATACGGCATTAGAAGCCAGAGATGATTGAAGGTTGACAAAAATGAGCACTAATTCTTTCCAAGAGATGATCAATCTTATAAACAAAGAACAGTTGGAGTAAGCCCTTTATCATATCTGATGATTAGGAATGACCAATACCTTTAATAAGTTGTAGAGCAAGAACCTCAAGAAATAAAGAGACCACAAAAGAGAACAGCAGGAAAACCTGCAGAGAAAGAGGTAGAAAAATAAACTACACTGCAGAAAAGGGAAAAAAGGTAGAAAAGAGAAGGAAAACAGTATCTACTGTGACTTTTATTATTTGCCTATTAGTTGATTTAACACCTGTTGCCTTTATCTTTTATCCATTGTTATTAAGCAAGTTGAAGCTGCCGCAATAACTTATCCACGAAAATTACTACCCCAATAAGCACTCACAGAATATTTGTTTGAACCGATTTGCCTCTCGAAGACACGGAAGTAGTACAGCAGATATAATCCAAATACTAGTTCAGGGGTAGAAGAAAAGGTAAAAGCCGATATGATCAGCTTCCAGATTTGAAGCTTCTGGAAGATATCCTGGAACAAGCAAAAGAGATGAATCAATTAGCAGTTTTACTATGGCGTTATAGGGAATCCTACTGAAACAATGAGATCATACCTAAGAAAACAGTAAAAGAGAACAAATCCTCCATAAAACAAAATTGTATATCAGGAGAAACAGAACCCGATATTTTATAAATTTCAAAAACTCAGAATGGATTTAGCTATGAGATGAAAACACATATAGGTTAAAAGAGAATCTTATATTTCCCCAAAGCTCAGCTATACAACAAAAAAATTATATAGGGAAAATAAGAATCAATTTATTCATAAGTTACCGAAACAAACAGACGTGTGAGTTTGGTGCTTCTAAAACAATTAGGTATGTGTGGTAATCCCCTGCTGTTACGAACAAGTTATATGTCTTCACATGGAAATTGACAGAGCTTGTATCTCTTCAAATTCGAAGGTTGATAGTAAAATAGGAGAAAACCATTTACAATCTAGTATTGCTATTGGATGATGGGTATTTTGTAAGACTATTAGGCCTATTGAACCTACATATTGCATTAGCAACCCCATCAAGTGAGCCTATAAAGTCTACATTACTATTGGATAAAACAGCTTGACGATGTCATGATGAAAAACAAATGTGGTGGCATTAGCGGAGTACCATACATGGTACGAATAAAACTATTTGGTATTCAATATTACATGGACTCCTTTTCAAGAGGATATGACATTGGTATGAGCACTTCATAAGAACCTCAAAATAAACCAAAAGTCTCCTACAAATTGTATGTGAGCTTGTCCACAGACAAACCTGTACTCATACTTGATAAACCTGATTTAGTAAACATGGATTCGAGATTAGCTTGCTGTATCTGCTAATTGTGCTTAGTCATTGTTTATTGTGGAGTTTGGCTAAGGAGTATATGTGGTTCCGAGCTCATACACAAGACATTTAATGTTATCCACATTTACAGACAAGGAAGAAAACTGTTAAGTAGCTTCAAGCTTCATGGAGTGACAAACCCATGTTCGATAGATATAGAAGATAAACCTATTTTAGTATAGCCTCAAAGTGCACAACACTGATAAATGAAAAACGATCCAGCAATATTGCTATTACATAGGCATGCATGACTTGATGAGAAAACATGATCTATTTTATGCTCTAAGACATAAAGAGTGAGTATCCCCCTCAGAATTTTTTTGAAAAAGGATTGTGTACACCTTAACAACTATCCTTAGCTGCCACTAAGATTACAATTGGACAAGGGTCAAACTGAGCAAACATATTTCATGCACAGAAGAATAAATCAAACACAAATACATAAGATCTCCCAAAACCAACTGCCGATATGCATTGAACTAAATAACATGCCAGTCTAGCTATAGTTGTGTTCACTCCCATCTCATATTGACAAGATGCTACGATTCAAATCCAGATTTAGAAACAATAATGTGTCACTATGCACTAAAGATCCAATCTTTATATTCTTTTCACAGTTCTAGAAACCTTCAAACCTAATTCAACTCAATACATGAAAAGGGGTGAGGCAAAATAGCAACATCATAATACCCAAAAGGCGAAAACTCTTCCATCACTATCGTAATACCCAAATCTACAAAACAAAAAACTAACCCCACCTAAAAAAGAACCAAAACCAAGAGATACCCAGAAAGTAGAACTACCTGATAAGACCATCCCAGCTGATTTCCATGACCACGAACACCAAATATGATGGTGAAGATAGTACACGCAATTACAATTGCCCTTGTCACTGGTGCATTATCTACCACATCAAAGTGAAAAACAAAATTAGAAAACAAGCAAATCTCTATACTAAATTCATCAAAAAAAAAAGCGTAATTGATGTGGGATTCAGAAACTTACTGAAACCAGATGGTCCGACGTTCATATTTGCAGCGATAAAAACGAGATTTTTGCCCTGTTTTCTACCTAACAAAGATCTGCTAAGTTCTACCTAATTCTGAAGAGACAAAAAAGGGAAAACGAAGATCAATTTTGCTTTGATTACAATGAACTATTTGCCTATTGTTTGCTATATTTACCAGTTTGACTCGGGTCCTTCCCAATTTGAACCCAGAAAGGATTGATTTGTTCTTCACCCAGATCAATTTTTCACAAGGCCAAAGTCATATGCGGCCACTCAAACTTGTCCCCATTATTCACTTAGACATCTTAACGTATTACTTGTTGAACACCTTAATCATCCCAGATTTGAACCGTAAAACCATTTTTAAATCACTTTTCATTAATTATGTGGCGCGTGTAGTTAACCGCCCCACGTGTATTGAATGATCATTTAAAAATTCCCACGTGTATTTGTTAATGCCTAAATTTGGGAAAATTCCCAAATCGTTAACTTTCACAGAACAGATCTCTTTCTATCTCTCTCTAACTTCACACTTTCTTTTGATTTCAAGCTCTCCATCTCGCGATTCATTCCAGTTCCTTGTTCGATTTTCGTTTGATTCCTCTTCTTCGTGTTAGGATCTATCCTCCTGTAAGTTTGATTTTTGTTTCTTTACATGCTTTCTTATATGAATTTCATAAAGCTGTGGTTTTGTAAAAATGTAGGGTTTTGCGAATATTCTGTCTATTCTTTACTATTACCCAAAAGTATGATTTAAAGCTTTGTTTTTTAGTTGTTTGTATGAGTATATTCCGTTAAATCTAGGGTTTGCTTGATATTTTGTAGAGGGCTGCTAACAATTGACCATGGAGGAAATCATATTTACGAAGATTTACCATGGTGGAATCTTGTCTAAGTTATCGGCTGTCCCTACTTATGTTGGAAACTGTGTCTGCACTAAGGTATATCATCAAGGACCACTTTTCCATTTTTGAACTATTGTATTATACTAAAGAATTAGGGTATGAAACTGTTGGAGGCTTTTATGTGAAAGACTTATCGAATAAAAAATGGATCCTAATTACAACTGACCAACATTTACTACACCTTATTAAAGACTTAAAACATGAGGACACTTTTGAAGTATATGTCTGTCATGTATTAGATAAACCCTTACTTGACACTGAGGTAACTATAGGATATCTAACTAATGGTGAAGATGGTGAGACAGTTAACTTAAGTGAAGAAGGTGAGGCTTGTAACCTTAGTGGTGAGGGTGAAGCTGCTAACCTTACTTGTGAGGGTGGTGAGGGTGAGCATGTTAGCCTAGGTGGAGAGGAAGTGGATGATAACCTAGGTGGAGAAGATGCATCTGATTTCTTGAGTAGTGATTCAGATTTAGATATACCTTCAGAAGATGGTTTAGATATAGATGAGGAGCTAAGAGCATTTAGAGAAGAAAGAAGAAACAAAAAACAGATAAAAAAGGCTGCTGAATTTGAAGAAATACCAGTTGGAGAAGCTGGTGGTATAGATAGAGGTTTTGAGGATATTGGAAAGAACAAAACTGACAAATATGCTGGAAAATTGGGTGGAGATGAAGATTACATTGATAGCTCTGGCTGTTGGAGTGATGATAGTGATGAACAACTAGATGTGGATGTTGTTAGGGGAGTAGACATCCCTGCTAGAAGGAGAAGCAGAAAGGTTAGGTATGATGAAGATAGTGAAGTGTCAATTTTTGAGCTTGGAATGGTCTTTGAAGGGGCAGATCAGTTCAGGAAAGCAGTGACAGATTATGCTGTAGAGTATAGAAGACAGTTAAAGCTAAAACCTAATGAAAAACATAGAGTGAGGGTGAAGTGCAAAAAATGTTAAGTGTAAGTGGTTGTTATATGCTTCGATTGACAGGGACTCAGGTGATTTTATTGTAAAGAACTATAATCCTATTCACAAGTGTATTCCATTAAACAGAAATAAGTTGTGTAATTCAAAGTTTATTGCTAGAAAGTTTAAGGACAGAATTATATCTCAACCATACATAAGGATTTGGGAAATTCAAGATTTGGTTAGAAAGACATTGGGTCTTTATGTTGGTAAGACTCTTTGTTACAGGGCTAAACAGAAAATTATGAGGGAAGACATGGGTGATTGGAATCTGGAATTTGCCAGATTGTGTGACTATGCAGATGTGATCAAACAAACCAATCCTGGAAGCTCTTGTTGGGTAAAAATTGATAAGGAAACTGAACCAGGGAAGAACCTTTTTGTGTATTTTTATGTATGCTTTCATGCATTTAAGCAAGGATGGTTGGAGGGGTGCAGGAATATAATTGGATTTGATGGTTGTTTTCTCAAGGGAGCTTGTAAGGGTGAATTATTAGTTGCTGTTGGAAAGAATGGGAACAATCAAATGTATCCCATTGCCTGGGCTGTTGTGGATACAGAAACAAAACATAGTTGGAGCTGGTTCATAAGTTATTTAATTGCTGATCTAAACTTGGGAACTGGTGAAGGTTTGACTGTGATGTCAGATATGCAAAAGGTATTGTTTATACAATTTCTTCTTTTTTTAGTTTAGTTTTACTACTCCAATTACTTATTCTGTATATACTTTTTGTTAGGGACTTATTCCTGTATTGTTGGAGTTGTTACCAAATGCTGAGAAAAGAATGTGTGCTAGACATATATGGAGTAATTGGCATGTTAACTGGAAAGGAGAAGAAAGAAGGAAACAGTTTTGGAGATGCTCAAAGGCCTCTTTTGAAGTCAAGTTTGGTGAAGAAGTTCATGCAATGTCTAAGCTAGGTAAGAAGGAAATAACAGAGGACTTATTACATTATGATCCCATAAATTGGTGTAGAGCTTTTTTTCAAACTCATTCCAAGTGTGATATTGTAGAAAATAACACGTGTGAGACTTTCAATTCCTGGATCTTAGCTGCTAGACATAAATCAATTATTACCATGCTAGAGGATATTAGGCATAAAATGATGAATAGACACATAGACATGATCAAATTTGCTTTAACATGGATATCAGACATTGCACCTATGGCAAGGGCAATACTAGAAAGAAACAAAGAGTATTCAAAGAACTGTAATGTTCAATGGAATGGGGTGAATGGTTTTGAGATTAGTGATGGGGAATACTCATTTGTTGTTGACTTGGAGAAGAAGCATTGTGACTGTAGGTTGTGGATGTTGAGAGGTATTCCTTGCCCTCATGCTATTTGTGCTTATTATTACTTGAATCAAGATCCCGATCAACATGTAGAGCACTGGTATATGAAGGAAACATTTCTCAAGGCTTACAATCATTTTATCCAACCAATACCCAATATGAGAATGTGGCCTAAAACTACAAATCCATCAATAGAGCCTCCAAAACCAAGAAAAATGCCAGGCAGACCTGCCAAGAAGAGAAGAAAGAGCAAGGATGAGCCCAAAAAATGGGGGAAAATTTCCAGAAAAGGAGTAAAGATGACATGTTCCATTTGCAAGAAAACTGGTCATAACAAAGTTGTGTGTGCAAGAGTAAGTAATACTAGTCATATTCACATTTGTAAATTGCTTAAAGTTTATAATCATATGTTTTATTTTGTGGTGACATAGTATGGGAGGGGGAGCAATTCTCAACCTACAAGTCAAGGAAACAGCCAACAAAGTTATTCTCAAACAAGAGTAAGATTTGCTTTACATATTCATTTCCTTAATTTTCATTTAGACAGTTATTCATATGTACTTATTTTTGTTCAACAGGTTAGAACACGAAGTTTTATTTGTCCTGATACCAGTGCTGTGCCAAGAACTGTGCCAAGAACTACCCAAACAACAGTAAGATTAGATAATAGCTATCCTTTAAAAATTCATTTGCATTTTAAGTTTGTTGTACAAGTTTTGATATATCCTTATTTATATTATATAGTCTACAATGGGAAGTCCATCACATTCTACTTCCAGAACCACATATGCAACTACACAATCAAGTCAAACAACTTCTATTTGTGCTGACACAACATCTGTGCCAAGACCTGCTCAAAATAGGGTTCAAGTTGGAACTGGAAGAGGATTGGGAAGAAAAAAAGCTAATGCAAGAGGAACTCCATTTGTTACAGAAAGGGATAGTTCTTCTAGTGAATTGCAACCTTTATCAGGTCACAAGAGACCATACAGTTCTGCCTCATTTGCTGCTGCTACTGGAGAAAACAGAAGGCCTGCAACTGGTTTTGGTGTTTACTCTAATCTTACAACTGGAGCCCAAGTATTAAATGTATGTTCACTTAACATGTTTACCTATTTTAGTGTATATTTTATAGCCATATTATAATCTAACATTATGTTAAACTTTCTATCTTATATTGCAGCCTGGTACATCAAGTGAGAAGATTCTACATGGGCCAACAACATTGAAGAGTGCTTCACCAATCAATATAGACATTGGTTTTAAACCCCGTAGCCTAAAATGGAAGGGAAAAGATGCAGTCAGCACCTCACAGTTACAACAAATGAAAGCTAAAAAGAAAAACTGGAAGTAGTTCATTTGGGAAGTTGGTGTCTATTTGAAAACAATTTACTCTTTGGTTTATTTGAACACTTGTCTAATTTATTTTTGAACATTGTATTTCTGTTAGCAAGACTATGCCTATTGTAAGACAATGATTTTCTATTACCTCTCAATGCATTTGTGTTATGTATTTCTATTACTTACTGTGTGTTATGTATTTTTCAGTAATGCATTTGTGTTATTAACTTACTTTTTGAACAACAACTACACTGCCTTTCAAAGCATGCCTTTTGTTTTTGTCAATAAGAGTACTAATCAATTCAATTCCAGAAAAAAAATTCAAAACACATGGCAAGTGATCAATTCAACAGAGATCAATTCAACTCAAACTTCCAATTTGATACAAAATATTAAGGACATATACCAATTAAAACATCATTAATTGATCTAGAATAACTACCTAACTACTGCAAAACTAAACAATTAAGTATTACAATCCCGAACTACTATCAACTACAAAATATTAAAGAACCATTTAATAGTTAGTAGACAAAGAAAAACAATTACAATTCGATTAAATTTGACATTTTCCCAATCCCTTTGGAGTTTAACTTCCTTAATATTTTTATTTAATACCATCAATTTTACTTCACTTTCATTCAATTGAAATTTCAAAGAATCTTTTTCTTCTTCAAACTCTTTCACTTTTCTCTTTAGTCGATCAATCGGATTTTGACCGTCTATGAGTCTATTCATTGAGGATGATTCATCAACATTTTCAAGCGACGGAT